TGGTGGAATAATATGAAAAAAAGAGGTAGCACTATTTGTGTCTAAGTGCCTACCTAACATGCCGACAAGTAAAAGCTGAGCATCAAAGGCCCGTTGGGTTGTTGCAGCCTTTACCCGTGCCAGAGTGGAAGTGGGAGCACATCTCTATGGATTTTGTCTCTAGCTTTCCTAGAACAAATTCAGGACATGATAGCATTTGGGTCATTGTAGATCGGCTGATCAAAGCTGTCCACTTTCAGCCGATTCGCACGATGTACATTTTGGATCGGCTGGCCCAGTTGTACATTAAGGCAATAGTGAGGTTGCAAGGAGTTCCTGTCAGTATTGTATCGGACAGGGATACTCGGTTTACTTCTAAATTTTGGGCTAGGCTACAGTCAGCCATGGGGACGAGACTCACCTTTAGCACTGCCTTTCACCCCCAAACTGATGGACAATCGGAGAGGACCATCCAAACCTTGGAAGATATGCTGAGGGCCTGTGTCATTGACTTTACAGGAAGCTGGATGACCATTTACCCTTGATTGAGTTTGCTTATAACAATAGCTTCCAAGCCAGTATTCAGATGGCACCATATGAAGCCCTGTATGGAAGGAAATGTAGGTCACCCATCTGTTGGGACGAAGTTGGTGAAAGAAAGCTTTTGGGGCCAAAAATTGTCCAGGTAACCACATATAGATAGCATTAATTCGAGAAAGGCTCAGGACAGCTCAGAGTCGGCAAAAGAGTTATGCCGATAACCGACGGAGAGATCTTGAATTTGAGGAAGGTGATCGAGTTTTCCTAAAGATCTCACCAATAAAAGGCATTATGAGATTCGGCAAGAAAGGAAAGCTGAGCCCACGTTACATCGGACCATTTGAAATCCTAGAAAGAATTGGAGGTGTCGCTTATAGATTTGCCTTACCACCCGAATTGGCAAACGTCCATAATGTCTTTTATGTATCATCACTACAAAAATATCAGCCCGACCCATCCGATATCTTGAAATATGAACCTTTACCGATTAGGAAAGACCTATCATTCATTGAGCAGTCAATTTTGATACTGGATAGAAGGGTACAAGTGTTGCGCAACAAGGAGATTCCTTTGGTCCGTATATTATGGCAGTACCATTCAATAGACGAGTCGACTTGGGAACGAGAAGACGATATCAGAGAAAAATATCCCTATCTTTTTCAGTAATCTGGTACACAAATTTAGAGGACTAAATTTCTTTAAGGGGGGAAGAATGTAACAATCCTAAACTTTCATAAAAAAAAAAAAACTCTTTATAGTATGATGGTCCATATAGGCATTATGGTCCTTAGGGACCATAACTACTTTTATATCTTTTTACCCTTCACTTTTCTTATCATCTGCCACGTCCTTTAGTGGACATGGGTTGTAAACATTAGAAGCTTATTATTAATGTTACACCTCATGTATGAGGTGGAGGTGTTTTAAAGAATTTAAATAGAACGAAAAGTAAGACGTCGCCTAACAACTCCTTTCTCGCTCTCCCTCTTATAAACGCAATGAGCTCTCCTCTTTAACCGAATTTTTTTTATCGAAAGCTGCCTCTCAAATATTATAAGTAAGCGACTTCATTGTCTTGAAGAATAATTTGTTTTTTTTATAAATGAAATAATTATTTCTGTCTATTATCACGAATTTTAGGCACGGTAAATTTTATGCGTAAGTGACCTCATTGTCTCGAAAAATAATCTTTTTAATAAAATAGTGCTATTTTATATATGTTAGAAATTTTAAATGCTGTAAATTTTTAGAAATAAATTTATTTATTTTTAGAAAAATAATCTTTTTAATAAAATAGTGCTATTTTATATATGTTAGAAATTTTAAATGCTGTAAATTTTTAG